GAGAGAAGTGGTTGCTAAGAGCTTGCTAATCCAAGCTCAAGAGGCACATGCAAAATAGCAGAATTAAAAGGACAGCTTCTTTGCAGAGTCACAGAGAGACAGAGAGCACAGGTAGGAAGCAGTCTCGTGTACAATGGCCATCTGCCCCGTCACATCCTTATTGTTTTTATTAGCATGCCTAATCTGATTAATCCTGCAAGCAGATACAGTTACCAGCTTTCAAAGTACAAAATAGAAGCCAAGAGAGATTATAGAATTTGATCATGCAGTCCTAAATTGTGATTTTATTTAGTTTTGATCTCTTTGATTACCCTTTATCTTTTCCTTTCATGTCATTCTTGGTATCAACAAGTTATTGGTTTCACACAAAAATTTTTTTTTTGTTTGGTAGAAATTAGCTCAGTGGGGACCAATGTGTGATTTAGAAGATACAGTTCCATTAGATTCCCCCTGTGATGGACTCTTTGTGATTATAACTTGGTATAACTTGGAATGTTTTAACCCTGAAGCACTACAAACAGTCACCCAGTAGTTTCACAGTCTGCTACATTCCCAGAAATCATTTTAGTTCAAACCCTAACTTTCTCGATTCCCTTAAGGGTACCTACTCACGCCAACGCTAAATCTGCGGATGACATAGCGTTAGTCTCTGGTAAGTGCTCAGGATGAATTTCTGGGGACAATGACACTGAGAACTGCCCAAAGGTTTACCCCAAAGCAAGAGATCCTGGGGAATGTCAAGTTTAAAGAAGGGGATACAAAGTGTTTCAAAGACTTGAACTAGTTTCCCTCACTTCCGGCTCTGTGGCATCATTCCTCGTCCTTGTTTAATAAGACGCAATGGCTAATCCTGGTGGTCAACTCAGCACTTTTGGGAATAGGGAGCTTGGATTGGGGCAGAGGCTGCATTAGATTGGCTTGGGGGCATTTCCTTTATTGCTAATTGGTGTCCGAGGACTCGCATACTCTCCCAATCCAGCACTGAAGGAAGGGTAAGCTGAAATAACACCCTTTCCTCACCCACTTGCTTTTGGTCAGACAGCAGCAGAAAGAGCAAAGATTATTAAAACTGCTAGGAGCAGTTGGTGATCGGGACCTTGTAGGTGGGCTGTGAAAAGTCTTTTTCCAAACATTTTATCTGGGGGCCCAGCTTTCAAGCTCATGGTGTGAGTGACATTTTACGCGGATGAAAAACATCATTTAATTATAAATTACTTCTTAAAAGTAACTTTACCTTTCTATTTTATTCATTTTATAATTCCTCTTCAAATAGACTATTTCATTGTGTTTAATTAATAAAAGTCTCTGTGATACAGGAAAAGAAGACTGAAGACTAAGAAAGGTTTAATAAGAAAGGGAGTCACCCACAAGTGAGGCCCAGGGACCTCATGAGATTGGCTGGCAGGGCTGGCAGGTCTGGCCGGTGATGATAAGAAGCTTCAGTAGAAGAGATGGGGGTGCTATAAGGCGGAGGAGTGACGCACCCGGAGCGGTGGGCCTCACAACAACTGGGAACGTTTCCCTTTGGTGATTTCTCTGCTTCCCACAGTAATTATAGTTATCACATGTCTTATGTTGTGTCAGAATCTGGAGGGCTGTGTGGGGCACATTGTGAACCCATGGACCTCTGCCCCTTTCCAATCTTGATATGATACCTTGATACCCTAGTTTTGGGACTGAAGATTGGAAAGGGAGTTTGTTTACCGAGAGACTGGCCTTGAACTCAAGATCTTTCTGCATTGGCTTCCTGAAAGCCAAGACGGCAAGCATGGCACAATGCCCTGCTAAACCCGTACAGTTTAAATAAGTTCTTCGGGTCGAGTTTTGCTGTACTTCCAGAAGCCTCTGGAACACTGTCTGGGGGCTGTTTGTATATAGCTCATTTCTTCATTCCTTCCACTTCTCTGCTCTCATGTAGGAGGTGCTGCGAGAGTAATGGAGAACAAAACCGACAATTCCCGTCCTCACAGAGCTTATAAACCCAGTGGTGAGAGCAGACAGAACAGCGGTAGCAGCAGCAGCAGCAACAACAACACCCCAAAAGCCACAACATGAGAACCTTCCCAAAGATCATAGTGGGAGTGAATGGCGCTGTCTGCTCTCAAAATAGAAAGAGAAGGACCTAGATATGATCAAGACAAAGGGCTAAGTGAATAAGAAAGGAAGAGGGCTCCAGCCAGTGGGAGGGATGCTCAGAAGTTCAAAGGCAACAGAGTCCATGACAAAAGGAACCAAAAGATGACCTAGCAATGGTTTGAATGAAAATATCCCCCAGAGGCTCATGTATTTGAACACTTGTTTCCTGGTTCACGGTGCGGTTTGGAGAGGTTAAGGGGGTGTGACCCTATTGGATAAAATGTGTCGCTTGTGACAGGCTTTGAGAGTTTAAAAACTGACAACAGTTGCGATTTGCTCTCTCTGCTTCATGCTGACCGTTGAGGATGTGAACTCTCAGCTTCCTGTTCCGGTTGCCATGACTGCTGCCTGTTGTCATGTTGTT